GAAATAGCTACAAGGAAATCGGGGTTTATTATGATTATGAGGAGCCTCGGTGGCACAGTGGTTAGAGTGCAGTACTGTAAGCTACTCCCACTGCAATTTGACAGATAGAATCCCACCAGGCTCAAGGTTGACTCAGCCTTCCATCCTTCCGAAGTGGATAAAATGAGGACCCAAATTGTTGGGCGCAAGATGCTGACCCTGTAAAACTGCTTAGAGAGGGCTGTAAAGCACGGTGAAGTGGTATGTAAGTCTAAGTGCTATTGCTATATAAGCTAAGACAGGGACTATAGTAATAAAAAACAACAACCTGGAAGTGCAGTTTGTATTGCAAAGCAATGCATTGGATTGTTTGCATTGCCTGCTGGTCTAAACATGTTAGGGAACTGCTATCACTTTTGAAAAAGCAGAAGTGGCTAAGAAAAGGTTGCTTATCTGCATTTGGGAGCCTGGTTAAAATTATCTGAACCTCTTAAAATGCTAGTTACAATGCTTTTTTTGTTTCCTAAAACCTAATTTGATTTAGGGTAGCAGCATTAATTGGTATCTGTTAATCAAATCTAATTACGTGTTCAGCTTCTGCTCAACTCTGTGCAGGATAACTATGAATTGTTTAACAGTACTTGAAAAAGACTAGATGAAGAATTTTGAAAGAGACTGGAATAAGCTGCAGAGGCATACAGTGGAAAACTTTTTATCTGCTTTCTGTGGTTGCTCTGGCTTCTAACCATATTAAAACTGAATGAGGTCTGTATCGCCTGCTCATTGACTTGGAAAAAGATAGCTGGAAAGGTTTCTTAGTGTAATTTAATCACAGGACAATGAAACCATTGAGGAAACTGCAAACATGCCAGTGAGAACAAGGTATATTTATCAAGTCATAAGGGAAATGACAGACGCTTTGTGTTAATATTTTCCCATTTAAGTCTGGGCGGTGGGGGAAACCTGATGGGTGGACTCTAGAAAAGGTGGTAATACAAAGTAGTCTGGGCTGTTTGGAGGGAGTTGGTTTTTTTTCTCTGTTACACGGTTTAGGGCTTAAACAACAAGCTGTGTGGCATGAAACTATACTATTATTTGTGGTCTGGGTTGGCAGCAAGGAGGTGGCACGCATATGTTCCTACCCCTGGTTTAAACGCAGCTAAACCATAAATTCAGTATTGGATCAGTCAAAATTATCTAGCAAGATTAATCTGGATAATAGATCCTGGAAATTCTTGAAGAAGTTGAGCTTCTTTAATGCTGTGCCCCTGCTCAAATTTTTCAATATACTGTAGTTTTCCTACTGCTGAGCCTGTAGAGCTTTAAAGTCCTTGGGAACACAGTTAGAAACCTTAAGCAAAGCATCCAGTTTGTCACAGATCCATGTTTCTTAATTTTTCTCTCTCTCTCAGAAACTCTTCCCACTTTAAACAATTATGGAGGACTCCAAAAGAGCTTTTGTTTGTATAAATTATATTCATTTATATTTACTGTATTAAAAATGAATATATTTGCTGCGGCAACACAATTGTTTGATGGGATTTTAATTATTTTTCAACCTAGGCTAGCACATAATTTTGATTTTGGGAATCTCCTGAGAGGATCTTGGGGAACCCTTATTCCCTAGGATCACATTTTTAAGAAACACTGTCCCAGACAAAAGAGTTAAAAGACCAAATGGACCTCGTTTATTAACTTTGCTCTTTAGATATTGTGAGAAATGATACTGAAGAAACAATATGAATGCTTGTGATATCTAACATTCTAGATAACATTCACTATCTAACATTCTGTATGTATCTATATATGCATATATTAAATTTATTTCTGCTAGAGTCTATTCTTCCTTTTAGACATCTGAGGACTCAGATTTCCATTGTGGCTGAAACAGGGCCAGACAATGATTACATTGTGTCACAAACAAGGAACTACATTCTACCTACCTCAGACTCTTTTTTTTTCTATAGTAAAAAGCAATTTTGAAATACTGTAGACATCATTTGCTTGAGCAGGAAATTTTTATGCCAGTTCTGCATTTAAAAGACATTATGTAGTATTGACTGCTATGGTTTCTCTGAAGTCTTACTGTTTTTGCTAAACAGTGATATGCGGTGTTATGCCAGGCACACTTACTCAATGTGAACCTTACGTAGTTCAAAGGGACTTATTCTCATGTAAGGGGGAACAGTATTCACATTGCAAGCCTTACTGATTGCTGAAGTCCTGAAAAGTAACGTGATCTCTCCTTCAGTGAGCAGCCTCTGATCAGTCAAATGAAACACCCAATTTCCTGGTTACGAATTTAATTGCATATTCTGAATATCCCAGAGCTGCTTAGGAGACATTGATTCCATTCAATTCTGCCAATTTTCTAAATGTTTTCTTTCTTCAGAAACAAACTTTTGTGTCCTTCAAAGACTGATAATAACACTGTTGTTACATTCAAGATCCATACAAATGAATACCTTATTTTTCTGGTTCTCTCAAGGTCTTATTTCTTGCATGGCTGGCAAGCTTCAGCTTTAGATATGAACAGATACAATTTTAAAAACCGGACAGTGCATTATAGTGATAAGGACCTGCAAACAGAGTTCGTTTTAAATTGAGCATGCCCAATGTCATGATCTAGTGCAGGGGTTAACAACTCCTTTGGACCATGGATTAATGTGGAACATTGATTAAACCTTGTGTCAAACTTGCTGAACCTGAAGCTCTTTGGCACTTAAGGCTTTCCCACACAAAGGCATATTCAAAAGTAATTTTTTAAATTAAATTGGATAGGAGAAAGAACTAAGTGTCAATTTACATATGTTATAAATAACAACAATAGTGTAATCCAAATTATCAAGCAAATGCCACAATATAATACTGGGGAAACAGGACTTTGCCACTCCTTTGAAGGGAATGCTTCAAATCACCCAGGAGCACTTCCTTTCCCCAAATCATGAAAGCAGCCATGTCTTTATCCAGGACTGTGTAGCTGCTTTGGCTGTCTCTCTGGCTGCAGAAATCTGGGAAAAAATGTTACTGCTCTGATGACTGGGGGGAAAAAAGAGAGAGAGGGAGAGAGAGAACTTGGTATCCTCAAGAATCAATACCTCTAGGAGGGAAAAATCAAATAATTCAGTGAAGTTAGATTAAAATGTTGACCTTTTTCCTTGTTTCCCTATTGGAAGAGGAGTATTGGATTGCCAGCATCCTCACACATAAGGCCAGGGGTGGGATGCTACTGGTGCTGCCCGGCTCTATAGAACTGCAGCTCTGAAGAGCAGCAGACACAGAACTGGTTCTGTCTGCTGCTATTTGGCCCACCTGCTCACCCAGGCTCTTACCTGTCCTTTATTTCCTGCTTTTTCAACCGCCAGCTGCATTGCGTGGCACAGCTGAGGTTGAAAAAACAGTTTAAAAAAGGCGTTTTTCAAACACTGCGCACCCACGTGCACAGGGCTTATCAGCTGTCCGGGCAGCACATGCGCGTGCAAAACCCAATCACAGAACTGTTAGTAACACCCCTACCATAAAGTTGAATCCCACCCCTGCCATAAGGCTCTTTTTCATGATTACATGAAGGTCTAATCCTTTTATCCTTGAGTCAGCAGAAAAAAATAGCTGGCATAAATTGGGGGTTTGTCCTACTTTGCCTCAGTAACAAGGGCCAGGAGGGATGCTATCCTTACTATTTGAGGGGAACTATCATTAAACGTGTGTGTGTGTGGCGTGCTTCAGAAAAAGTTCTAAACCTATACTTAAAGTAGCCCTCAAATACCTGACAGACATTGTATGGAGTCTAGAATAGTGTTTCTGAAAGAGGGCAACATTAAGGTGCATACGTCAACCCTGACGCAAACCTGGCTGAGGCCATCTCTGAGGCCTCAGGTTAGCTACAAGGAAGAAGAAGGGACGGGGCGGGGGGGGGGAGAGATAGATAGCTG